GAGGAGGAGGGCTTTCCAGGAGTGCTAATACTCTTCAAATGTTTTTGGTTCATGATTTAATACTTTAATACTAGTATTCATATCTAGTATAATTCAGACTAGTGAATACTACTGTAAAAGAGCACTAAATAAATTACTTCCATGAACATGAGAGATTCAGCGTCTGTCATTTCTACAATTACATTTTTAAAGACTATAGCAGGCAAACAGACAAATATATTTAAAATTTCTGAAGTTCAGTTCCACTTAAATCTTTGGTTTTGAGGAAATCTATAACATAATATAAAATGATCAAACCACTACATCTTCTGATTAGAGACAGAAGAATTAAAAGGAAACTGTGATATTGGCAAAGTAATGAAATAAATTAAGCTAGGAAAATTCATAACCTCTTTATTAGTAAACCATTGAGAATCAATATTCTAAATTGTGAATTCAGAAAAAGAATATTCAAAGCATTCTATTTTCCAAACCTGTTTAAATATCTGTTAAATTGAAAAAATACAGAATTTAACTAAGCAGTTCTAAAGGTATCTGATTCCGTGATATTTAATAGGGTTTAAATTTTCTCATCTTTTTAAGATGGCATTTGATCTAAATGGAACAGATTTTACATTAAACATTGTTGCTTTCTTGGAAAGTTTAATTCTGCATTCTCTAACTTGGCATTGTCTTGAGTCCTGATGTCAAAGATAAAGTGGGAAGAATCATCATGTCTCTTTTTACATGAGTAGTCTCATATTGTACATAATATTTCACGTGGTTTTGATATGATAATATCCTGTTGAGATACAGGAAGGAGGCAAATACTGTGATTATACAATTAACACCTTGCTGGTTTTGCAGTAAAGTAGACATTTTTATAAAGATTTAGCCAGATTTGAATTGCAGTATTAAAGTGTAACAGTCCCTGCAATCTTAAAAGAAATAGATAAGATCACAGGAGGTGAATGTTTTCTAGCAGCATTACCAGCACTTCCACTGCTTATTAGAGGACATTTAGGGGTAAAAACAGAACTTATTAACAGCACAGAACACTGAGAGCTCAGACTAGTGGCTGTAAACAAACTTTATGGGACACTAGGAAAAGTGGACATCAGGCTACCTAAAATCTTTCTGGACCACAGATGTAGTAGAGCTATGCTGTACCAAGAGGAGCAAGAAGAGAAGACATAATGAATGTGCAACATGACCTTGTTTCTTTTAGAATCCTTTCTTTTAAGTTTCCTGGAGGTAGGTAGGTAGGTAGGGTGTGTGTGTGTGAGAGAGAGAGAGATAATTTAATTGTTACCGTAATGTTGCCTAGGCAATTACTATTTTTCTTATTTAAAAAATAAGAAGAAGAAACTATGTTAATGGGTAATGGTACCTTATACATGGCCTTAGGTAGGAGATGTGTGTCATGCATGTTGTAGTTGGGAGATCTTCCCACATTTTCAGCTGCTCTTGTTTACCTAGAACTAGAGTGTTTTATCTGTTTTTATTTCAATGGCCATATCTTGCAATGGAAAGAGCTAGAAATTAATTTGAAAAAATATAAAAATTAGAAGAAAAGCTTTGGAACTTTTCAGGAACAACAGCAAACTTTGTACTTATCAGGTAGTAAAATAAAAAAATGTAATGTGTGGATAAAATAGATTATACTAAAATCTTAGTTGCTTTACTAAAATTAGAAGAGAGTTTTCCAGAAAGTTCTCCCGGTGTGCCAAGAAGGTTGTTGTGTGTCAGCCTTTTCAACTGCCTTGCTCAGGTGGATTTTGTATCTCAGTGTTCAGTCTAGGTATGTTAAATATTGGTTAATTGAATAGTCAAGCAACCTCATGAATTCTTATCAGTTACTCTACTGTTCTATAGTACATGGGGGCGGGGCTGGCAGCCAGTTCACTCCAGCCTCACTCCCAAGGAGCCCTCTGTGACTCTGCACTGCTGCTTCTGTATCAGAGTCAGCAGTGCGAGGTGTCAGGTGGGAACTAGTTCGTGAAGGGAGCCAGTTCAAAAACCAGCTCCCCTCATGGACCGGCTGCCTGTTGCCATCTGCTGCTGCCTCTCATAAAGAGGCAGCAACGCAGGATGGCAGCAGCCCTGTCTAGGGGGGGGGTCTGAGCTCCTGGACCCGGAAATGAGCCGGGCTGCCAGCCCAGCTGGTTCCTAATACACTTTAAATCCAGAGCCACAGCGGGAGTAGGTCCCAGAGCCAGTGTGAGCCAGGACTGAACTGAGCTGCTGGTAGGGTTGCCAGATGTCCGGTTTTCTCCCTGACAGTCCGGTATTTGCACCATCTGTCCAGTAGAAAAATTCAGAAAATACCGGACATGTGCAATGTCTGGTGTTTTCTGAATTTCCGGCAGGGTGCCGGATCGAAGCCTGGCGGGGGCGGGTCTGAGATTGGGAGGCGGGGTGTAATTAGTGCTGGGAGCCTGTGGTCGTGTGCAAAAGCCAGGTGGGGCGGGGACTGGGACTCCCAGCCCCTCCCCCCGCCCGGCTTCTGCTTGCAACTAAAGGGAGCAGCTGCTGTGGGC